GATATTCTATCTGGAGATTACCCTTGTAAACTAAGAGTCTGCCAATTAAGCCTCAGCCTCTACATTGTTAACCCAGATTATTCACCATCATTCCATGTAGGCAAGCAAATCTTTCTGTCCCCAGGGCCACAAGGACTCAGGTCTAGTCCTTTGCCAGGTGGCCATCTATTCATTCAAAAATCATTTACTGACCTCCTAACATGGGTTCAAAGCTTTATTTCCTTGAGACTTGATCTGTTTGTTTTTTGCTTGTGAATAGTTCTTTCTTCTCTTGAAATAAACTATTACCACTCTTAGAAAAAGTGATCAGAAGCCTCCTCAGAATTTTTTTCCCTCCATTTAGTTCTAATTTTCACATCTGGTCTCCACAGCCTTCTTCTGGCTATATTCTGATATTCTGAAGTTTTTAATATTTTTAAATTATATGCTAGAGAGTCTCCTTTTGATAATATTTAGAATGCTTATGGTAAAGGACACCAATATACCTTTTCTCCTCTGGTAACATTTCTAATTATTTATATCGAAGATCAGTTAAAGAGAAATACTAGGCCACTTCAGCTCAATATGTTGACCCCCACCCCTAAAAGTTGTACCATTTGGTATTACTGCCTTCGTTTTCAGAGTTTAATGTCCAAGGTTGTTATCTACCTCACTCATACTATATTTATTCAGCTCCTATGCATTTTTAGGTCCTTGAGGGAGATAAAGACATGAACAAAACACAGTTCCATCATTAACTCATACATTAACAATAATTTATTGAATACCTACTATATCCCAGGAGTCTGTGACAAACTCTAGGATACAGCACTTGGCAAAAAGGCATGGACTTTCTCATCATGGAACTTATTAGTGAAGGCAGCAGGCAGGGACCATGTGTGTTGTGTTCACCACTGTATATCATCTGGCACATAGTAGGTACTTAACAAGTATTTGTTGAGTAAGTGAAAGTAAATACCAAATATAGAAATTGTGAGAAGTCCTATGACTTGAACAAAACAGGAAACAGTGACAGATAAAAGGGTAAAGAGAAAAGGTTGCCAGGAAAGGCCTGTCTGACAAAGTGGCACTTAGACCAAAATCTGAAGGATAAGGGCTAGCCAGCCATGCCAACACTGGTGATATGAGCATTCCAGGAGAGGAAGGCAGTAATGGGTAAAGTACAGAGAGGGAGGGAGCCTTCAAAAAGTAAATAGGAATTTTGTAATATGAACAAACTTTGCATAGATTTAAAATTTTTCCTGCACCACAATAAACAAGTTCTTTCCTTCAATTTTTCCAAGAACTTTGTGAGGCCCTTCATATGGTGCAGGAGAGAGAGCAATGAGTAAGGACTTTGAGGTAGAAGCTTGACATGTTTCAGTAGGAAGATCATAATGGGCCAAAGGAAAACTGGTATATGATGAAGAGTCACAGAAGACAAAGTAATAGTAGGCAGGGGTCTTAGAGGACATTGTAAGGAGTTTGGATTGTTAAAAATGTTTGCTATAGGATGTGTGTACACACTGGAGACAGAGAGAAGAGAGTGAAAAAGAGAATGGAGACTGCTCCCCTACCACTACCAGATTTCCACACAGTAATTCCTTCTCTTGAGATTTTGGGCACACATGCACACATGCCTGGTGGGTTTTTTTGTTTGTTTGTTTGTTTTAAGAGAATTTTTTGCTACATGGCACATGTGCTCACCAGAGAGACAGAAAAGTGAGAAATCACTCCCCGGGGTGATGGCCACATGGCAATCCCTTCTCTGTTCTCCTCCTGGAATTTTGGACACTCATGTGCACGTGCCTGCATGAGTTTTGAGCTGTCGGGTCCAGCACTTGAACCATGGTCGACGACACAGGAGTCCAACAACGTAACCATTACACCGTCTGCTGGTCCTCTTGGCGTGTTTTCCAAGCAGCCGGATTTGGTACTTGAACCACAGTCAGCCATACAGGATCCAGCCACCTTAACCTCTAAACTATCTGCTGGCCTGGGATTTGGATTTTATTCTAAGTGTAATAGGAGGTAATTTAAAGGCTTTAAGCAGGGGAGTCATATGACTTAAATTGTACTTTAAAAAATTCACTCTGTCTGTAGTGATAAGATCCGTGTGGTAATGAAAGTGGAAGAAAGGACTCCAGTTAGGAGTTGCAATAACTCAAGATACATTTTGGAGACAGAGCTGATAGATTTGTTGACAGACTGGATGTGGGGGAAGAGGAAAATTAAGAATGATTTCCAGGTTTCTAGCTTAAGCAACTGAGTGGGTGGAGGGACCATTTTCTAAGACAAGGAAAACTGGGGGCAAGGTAGTCCTGGGGTATGTCACTGTTTATTTTTAACATATTTTATTTGAAATGCCTGTGAGATGTGTCAGTGTAAATGTCAAGTAGGCAGTTGAATATTTGAATGTGGAGTTTTCTAATAGGGAAGATGGGACAAAGGAGTTTGTGATAAAAGCCTTAGAATTGACATAAAACTTAAATGTTCAGGGACCAGCAGGTAGCGTAATGGCTATGTTGCTGGACTCTCATGCAGTCAACCGTGGTTCAAGTCCCAGACCCGGCGGCTTAAATTCACACTGGGCACGTGTGCATGTGTGCCCAAGATCTCAAGAGGAAAATGGAGGAGAAGGAATTTCATGGCCATCCCCCTGGGTGGGGGGTGATTTCTCGCTTTCTGTCTGTCTCTCTCTGTATGTCTGCTAAGTGCATGCGCCCTGTAGCAAAAACCTCTCAAAAAAAGAAAAAAAAACCACACAAACTTAAATGTTCAAAGAGAAATGTCATGTCTAGCTGGGTTAATCAGAGGAATTTTCAGAAACAAACAAAAACTGGCATTTGAGCCAAAGGAAAGATGATGAGGGAGAACATTCCAGGTAAAGGGAATGGAATAGCAAAGGCGAAGAAGAAATTTAAGTCATGTTCAGGAACTGAAAAATAGTTGTCTGGATAGAATGCAGTTTGTGTTTGGAACATTGCCAAGATAAGTCTAGAAAGGGTGGTGGAAGACATTACAAAGGGCTTTCAGCACCATGCTAAGGCATTTGTATTGTATTTGGGGGCAACTGGAAACACTAGCATTATTTTAGCAGAGGCATGACCTAATAATGAAGTTAAAAGCAATTTAGTGACAATGAGTAGGGAGGATTGATGCGTAAGAATAAGAGGCAAGGGAAGCCAATTAAGAATCTATTTAATTATCAAGGCATGAGGTACTAAAGACCTAAACATTAATCATAGAAATGGGAAGTTAAAGGGCAACTGTGAAAGACATTTCAGAAGAGAATTATGATTATATGAATCTAACAGGAAAGCCAGGAGGAGGGATCCACTTTTATTCTTCTCAGTATCTTGGTATCCAAAGTAGATCACAAACTCTGTAAGGCTAAGAGATACTTTTCAATCTCTCCAAGAGACATTAGATATTAGTTAAAAAGAAACTCATGCTGGTAAGACTTCTAAGTAAATGGATAAAAAAGAGGAAGCTCTGGGAGGACTCACACAGGTAACTACTGTAGGAAAAAGCAGTTCATGGGAAGGGGTCAGGAACGTGGACCAGGGTTGAGAGTAAGCATTGGTAAAGATACATTAACTTTTCACCTTTTTCTTTTTAAAGCCCTTCCTGCTCTACAGCTCCTCCTTGCCCCCACCATGCTCACCCAACAAACACACAGGCTGAACTTTAAATTATCTGTATTTTTTTCCTTCACCACACTCCTGACCATATTAGCCATATCTGAGCAATGTCCCACCCCCAGCAGCCCCCATCTGATAAATACACATCACTGAGAAGGGCTAAATGTATTCCCCTTCCCTCAGTAATATTTATATTTAGATAATAGAGGCTTTGACTATCATAATCTTAAATGCCTAACATGAAAATTAATCATGTGCTAAGGTAGAGCTGAAGTGAGCTGGAGAAGGGGGTCAAGGGATACCTTTAAGTGCTCATTCTAATGGTGAAACATGGCTCAGGCCTCCCCTTATGACCTGCTGTCTCACTGGAATATCTATTATTAGCCTCCTTTCAAGGAAAGTAAATTAAGGGACCAGCAGTTAGCATAATGGCTATGTTGCTGGATTCCCATGTAGTCGACTGTGGTTCGAGTCCCAGACCTGGTGGCTTAAACTCACGCCGGGTGTGTGCGCGTATGTGCCCAAGATCCCGAGAGGAGAATGGAGAAGGGACTGTGGTGTGGCCATGCCCCCAGGGGGTGATTTCTTGCTTCCTGTCTCTCTGTCTGGCAAGCGCACGTGCCCTATAGCAAAAACCTCTAAAAAAAGTAAATTAAGTTTGGAAAAGTCTTCTAAGGCAGAGGATAATCAATGAATATCCAAACATTTCTTTTAAACTAGTGAGTCGTTTTACCATTGCTTGATCCCCATCTTCCTTTTAATCATTTCTCCTCTACTTTCCACTTTTCACTGCAGGTTTGTTTTTATGTGTCTGTTGTTCAATATCTTTTAAAGGGTAGCTTAATTCTTTGGAATGTATATGCTATATAAATATAATAAAGCAATGAATAAATAAAAATATCTTTTTATAAGTTTTACCATATCTGCTACTGTAAAGTCTGCCTCTCACTCTGCATTAGACTGAAGAGTAAGTTAGGTGTTTTCTGAGGGACATCAGATAGATTTCCCTGTTTCTAAATACTTTTCCCACTACCTCAAATTCTACAACTTGGTAATAGCTATTTTGAAACTTGGAGCCTTGAAGACTTGTTTTTCAAAAATCCCTTATTAAAATTCAACTACCACACCAGGTGGGTGGGTAGGTGGGTCCTGATTTAAACTTAGTTCCCTTAACATTAACCCATCATGCTTACCAAACACATTTTTCACATTCTAGGTTTTCCTGTACCTTTATTTATGCTGTTCTTCCAGAGGTAATGTTAAATTGAACAGAAATTATAAATATAACATTACCCTATATTTTCATACAGTCTCTCATTTGATATCCAAATCCAAGCCTATTTGCTTCTTTTAAGAATAATTTATTTTCCTCCAATATAAGAAGAAAAACAAGTTTATTATAGACAATTTGAAACAGGCAGAAAGATAGGAAGAAGAAAAAATATCAATCATAGGGCTACCACATAAAGAACAATCATCGTTAAAGTGTGGTCATGCTCTTTCTTTAAATCTTAGTTTAGGTCCCGTTTTCTTTAACTTTCTCCCCCGGGTCTTCTATATCCTGTTTGTATCACTCATTTTAACATATCATGCACTTACTGTATGGTTAGTTAACTTGGTTGTATGTCTTATGTTTCCAACTAGATGGTTCAATCTTCGAAGGTTGAAACCATGAGTTATGCTTCTTAATTTATCCCAAAACACTTGGTACATTGATACAGTTATTTGATGACTGATTTAACCTAAATGAATACAATTTCACAGAAAATATGAAATAGGCCAAGTCATGAAAATTAAAGCTTTCAGGTAATGTAGCTTAGTGACTATAGCTTTCTGTTCCTGGACTCTTAAAAGTCTATTTAATTGGCCTCTTCATGTACACCAAAACCGAATAAGCAGGAAACTGAAAGCCAGGATTTACTCGAAGATTTTCTATATAAGGCATGATGTAAGAGAGAGAGAGATGTGACAGAGTGAAAAGAGAAGAATAAAGAGAATAAAAGAATATATAGAGAATATAGTCTCAAAAGTGAAGAAAAGGATAGAGAGAAGAGTATATATAGTCTGGTGCTCAATCCAGTATGTGATTTGCCTCCAGCACCGTGTACAGGATCCCATCCACTTGTTCTGAGTCATACCCGATCTCACGAAGCTCCAAGTGAGGGAGAACAGAAGTAAGGAGATAGCTGACGTGGATACGCAGCCGCGTAAGTTTTGCCAAAACCCTGTAATGATGGAGTGAAGGGGCAGAAGAGATGACATAAAGTCATTAGCCAACAGAATAAAATGAAGCCCCTTAAAAACGGGCCTACATTTCTCAACAATTATGTTTCCATTAGCTGGAAAGAAAGAAGAAAGCACAATGCCACCAAGTGCAGGGAGATTGGCTGCAGCTTCTAAGTAATTACTCAATCCTTGGTGGCCTATGAATTAAGGCTTCCTCTCTCATCTATGACCAGTAAACTGGGCATCCTAAGGGATGCTACCCATTAGCACTCAGAAGCTAATAACTAAACCCTAGTAATTAACCTTTCTAGGTCATCTCCCTCTGGGGTCCGGTAGGAGACCTGGGCCTTCTGTAGCACTTCCAGGTGTGTCTCTGTCTCCTTCAGTTTCTTTTTCAATTCTTTCTTTTCCTCTTTAGTTCTTTCCAGTTCAGCTTTCAGAATCTGGAATTCAGCTTGGCGATAACCCATGTGTTTCTTGCTCCAATACAAGCCTTCTGTCTCCTGAGTACTATAGGTTACCAATTCATGTTGGACTTTCTTGAATTCAGAATGCCAGTGATTCCTCTCCTGTTCCAGCTCCTCCACCTGCAACCCAAGAAATAGAAGTTCAATGATCCCCACATATTGCTAAAAACTAAAGAATGCCCAAAATTGTCCCTAATATATTTATCCTGTGATTCCATTGTAGATATTCTTTTCCTTTTGGACCTTTTTAACCCCCAAATATGGGAAAGGCCCATTAGAGTTCACTCAATCTGAAGCATACCATAGAATTATCAAATGACGTAATTTTGTTCAATGGCCTTAGTACATGAAATTATCCAATCAAAAATGCCCCAGTCCCTTGGTTATAATGATCTCTTAATCCTAGTGCTAAGGTGTTGTCCTAACCTTTTGCTGGAACAAATTCCTTTCAGCCACAACACGTTCCAATTTTTCTGTGGTTCTCTTCAGTTCCTCCAGCTCTCTCTGGTTCTTCATCTTTGGTGTATTACGACCTCTGCCCTCCTCACAGCCTCTTCCTTTGTCTGGAATGGCTACAGTAGGGAGTGCAGGCATTGGGTTCCAGGATTCAGTTGCTTTTCTTCTCTCAACAAGCTCCTCTTTGTTAAAAGGGATCAGCTGAATGGGAGCTCCCGAATCTTTAACACCTTTTGCAACACCAACAACAGCTACAAAAGGTCCCTTGTTTACTTCTTCTTTGTTTATACGTGTGCTACCTCTGTTTGATTCTTCTGCTACCAATCTTGGCATCTGATCTTCTAATTCTTCAGGAAGCAGGGTCCTTTGGTGCTGGTCTTGAGCTCCTAAACATAGAGCTGAAACCTCCCTATTCTGAGTTGTATTCTTGCTTGCTTCTGGGTATTCTGGTAAAAGGTATGGTGGTGTACTTCTCTCAGAACTGGAATCCTTGGTGGCCTATGAATTAAGGCTTCCTCTCTCATCTATGACCAGTAAACTGGGCATCCTAAGGGATGCTACCCATTAGCACTCAGAAGCTAATAACTAAACCCTAGTAATTAACCTTTCTAGGTCATCTCCCTCTGGGGTCCGGTAGGAGACCTGGGCCTTCTGTAGCACTTCCAGGTGTGTCTCTGTCTCCTTCAGTTTCTTTTTCAATTCTTTCTTTTCCTCTTTAGTTCTTTCCAGTTCAGCTTTCAGAATCTGGAATTCAGCTTGGCGATAACCCATGTGTTTCTTGCTCCAATACAAGCCTTCTGTCTCCTGAGTACTATAGGTTACCAATTCATGTTGGACTTTCTTGAATTCAGAATGCCAGTGATTCCTCTCCTGTTCCAGCTCCTCCACCTGCAACCCAAGAAATAGAAGTTCAATGATCCCCACATATTGCTAAAAACTAAAGAATGCCCAAAATTGTCCCTAATATATTTATCCTGTGATTCCATTGTAGATATTCTTTTCCTTTTGGACCTTTTTAACCCCCAAATATGGGAAAGGCCCATTAGAGTTCACTCAATCTGAAGCATACCATAGAATTATCAAATGACGTAATTTTGTTCAATGGCCTTAGTACATGAAATTATCCAATCAAAAATGCCCCAGTCCCTTGGTTATAATGATCTCTTAATCCTAGTGCTAAGGTGTTGTCCTAACCTTTTGCTGGAACAAATTCCTTTCAGCCACAACACGTTCCAATTTTTCTGTGGTTCTCTTCAGTTCCTCCAGCTCTCTCTGGTTCTTCATCTTTGGTGTATTACGACCTCTGCCCTCCTCACAGCCTCTTCCTTTGTCTGGAATGGCTACAGTAGGGAGTGCAGGCATTGGGTTCCAGGATTCAGTTGCTTTTCTTCTCTCAACAAGCTCCTCTTTGTTAAAAGGGATCAGCTGAATGGGAGCTCCCGAATCTTTAACACCTTTTGCAACACCAACAACAGCTACAAAAGGTCCCTTGTTTACTTCTTCTTTGTTTATACGTGTGCTACCTCTGTTTGATTCTTCTGCTACCAATCTTGGCATCTGATCTTCTAATTCTTCAGGAAGCAGGGTCCTTTGGTGCTGGTCTTGAGCTCCTAAACATAGAGCTGAAACCTCCCTATTCTGAGTTGTATTCTTGCTTGCTTCTGGGTATTCTGGTAAAAGGTATGGTGGTGTACTTCTCTCAGAACTGGACTTTTCATGGCTGTTTTTTCCTTCTGGGTAGGCAGCAGGTGCTTCTACCCTCTTGTAAGGGCCAGGTATGGGATAATCTAGAGGAGGTGTTGCTATCTCATTCTGGAGCTTTCTTCGTTTCTCCACAGGTTCCTCACCTAGATTCCATCTGCACTTACTGTAAGAAGAGGAAATTAAATTGTAAGGTATCACAAGTGTGCATATATATACATACATACACATTTTTTCAACAAAATGGTTTTGCATGTGCCTTTAAAATGATAATTAAAAAAGTTATTTCTTCCATGAGAGAGATAGAGAAATAGAGAAAGGGATGGGGCAGAGACAAAGAGAGACTTCATGCTGCACTCCATGCCTAGTCTCAGCCATTCAGGATAATGGGAACATACAAGCCTAGTGTGCTCAGGGCAGTCCCAGGACATGAATCCTGGACCTTTTTTTTTTTTTTCCGGAGAGATTTTCGCTATAGGGCGCATGCGCTCGCCAGACAGAGAGACAGAGAGACAGAAAGCAAGAAGTCACCCCCCCAGGGGGGATGGTCACGCCGCAATCCCTTCTCCTCCATTCTCTTCTCGGGATCTTGGGCACGCATGCACACACGCCCGGTATGAGTTTTAAGCCACCAGGTCTGGGACGCAAACTGCGGTCGACGACGTGGGAGTCCAGCGACATAGCCATTACGCTAACTGTTGGTTCCCAACCCTGGACCTTTTGTATGTGGCTCAGTTGTATTACCATGGCACCACCATCTGCCCCTCCTTTTAAAATAATTTGATATTGTTCTATGCATTTTAAAATATTTTTCCTTATTCATAATAGAGCACATGCACACACATGAAAGACAGAGAGAGAGGGTCACACTGGGTTACATCATGTTCCCCATCCACCACCAGTCTTCCAGCCCAATGGATCCCAGGCACTTGTACATTTCATGCACTCCAGGCTAGGGATTCAAATCACAGTTGCCATGTGGGATCCAGCCTTCCTTGAGCAGCTCCTTACTATTGCACCAAAGAGCCAGCCCCAAGCTAAGTATATTCTTATCCTATAAAGCCCCTCCTCAAATCTCCCATATTAAAACTGATTCTAGATGTTAATCACAGATTATTTCAGGTTAGGGATACAACCTTACCCCTCAAGCCTCAATGCTTTTGTTTATGCAATTGACTGAATTAGCAAATAACGTTAAGGTAGAGGTGAAATTGAAAAGTTAAACAGTTCAGGGACCAGCAGTTAGTGTAATGGCTATGTCGCTGGACTGCCATGTAGTTGACCGCGGTTCAAGTCCCGGACCCAGTGACTTAAACTCACGCCAGGCGCATGTGCGTGTGTGCCCAGGATCCCAAGAGGAGAATGGAGGAGAAGGGATTGCGGCGTGGCCATCCCCCCCCAGGGATGTGATTTCTCACTTTCTGTCTCTCGTCTCTCTGGTGAGTGTATGCACCCTAGAGCAAAAACCTCTCCAAAAAAAAAAAAAAAAAAAAAAAAAGTTAAACAGGTCAGCACTTAGATATAACAAGACTAGGTTGACCTTGGTAAGAATTCTAAAAAAGGATCGAAACCAACTTGATTTAGAAGTTTCCTAAATGCAAATAAAAGAAGACAAACAAGGCACACACACACACAATCCTCTAATGTTAGAATGAAATAAAAAAAGTCATGAAAAGCCTAGAAGAAAATGCATAGAGACAGCTCATTGATTTTAAAGTGTCACAAAAACATTCCAGTATCAAAGGTGCATTTTTTATATTGCAACAGAACACCATACAATTCTTTTGCCAACCAACTGGGTTGTGGCTATTGCCCATTATTCACTCATAAAAGTTAATTAAAACATAGGGCCCTAGTCAGAAACAAAGAAAGTCAATCAGCCAATTTAAGTAATTTTTCTTTTTGTGCCAAAAATGTTCTCTCACTCAGGCACAAGAAGACACTCCCTCAGTTCTTCAGGAAAGTCCAGGATGATGACCTTAACTCACCTTCCCTTTATGGCCGCTATTTGCACTAATGGCTGAAGGTACTAACAGAACAACTGGCACCAAAAAAAAAAAAAAATCATAGGCAATTTTACATCATGCAACAGGACAGAAACTCCATTTTGAAATTATTTTATTTTGATTTTTTTTCTTTTTTTGGAGAGGTTTTTGCTATAGGGTGCGTGCGCTCACCAGACAGACAGAGAGAGACAGACAGAAAGTGAGAAATCACCCCCAGGGGGGATGGCCATGCTGCAATCCCTTCTCCTCCATTCTCCTCTCAGGATCTTGGACATGCACACACACGTGCCCGGCGTGAGTTTAAGCTGGGACTCGAACCACAGTCGACTACATGGGAGTTTAGTGGCATAGCCATGATACTAACTTGGTCCTATTTTGATTTTTAAAAATAGTTTTATTTCAATTTTTTATACATTCAATCACATATGTCACTTAGCTTGCAAAGTGAATATTCCAACATGTGTACATTTCTCACCAATCCAGCTTAGAATACTATACACAGTATCTTCAACAGTTAATAACCCATTTCTGTGTCCCATAAATGTCTTGCCTATTTTTCTCCTTAATGTCCTTCCTCAAACTCTCCTCCTTCACTTACTCTCTTCCCATACTGTATCTGGGACTTACAACCAATTTCTATGTTTCTATACCCTCTAGTCATTCGGTTTTGGCTATAGAGTGCAGAGAGTTGGTATATATTAAGTGGAGACATACAATGTCTCTCCTTCATTTTATACATTCAATCACTATACATCACTAAAGCTTCTAAAGTGAATTTACCCAATATAAATACACTTCATACCAGTCCAGTTGAAGATACTATACACATTATCATTAACAGATAGTCATCTATTTCTGTCTCATAAATATCTTGCCCCTAAATTTTTCTCCTTGATTCCTCTCCTCACACTCTCCCCTTTTCTCCCAATCTCTTTCTACACTGTCTCCAGTATCCATAACCATTTTCTATGCTTCTGTATCCTCTAACCTTTTAGTTTCCATCATATAATGTGGACAGTTGGTATATATTAAGTGGAGAATACAATGTCTCTCTTTCATAGACTGGCTCACTTCACTCAGCAATAAATCTTCCATATTTGTCTACTTTCTGTCATGTACCAGGGTCTTAGTTCTCTTTTTTCATGACTGAGTAGTATTCCATAGTGCATATGTACCTCACTTTTTCAATCCATTCATCTCTTCGTAGATATGTGGGTTGATTCCACATCTTAGCAATTATGAATAATGCTGCAATAAACACAAATGTGCACTTTTCTGACTGAGCATTCTCCTATCCTTTGGGTAGATACCCAGAAATGGAACTGCTAGATCATATGGTAGTTATATTTGTAGATCTTTGAGGAACCTTCATATTGTTTTCCACAGTGGCTGGACCAATTTACATTTCCACCAACAGTGTAAGAGAATTCCCCTTTCACCACAGCCTCACAAGCACTTACCTTTTTTTATTTTATTTTGACTGGGGTTAGGTGGTATCTCACTGTGGTTTTGATCTGTATCTCCTTTATGATGAAGGATGTTCAGCATTTTTTTAATATGCTTTTTGGCCATTTGTATGTCTTCCTCAGAGAGTTGTTTATTCAGCTAATTTTCCCATCTTTTAATTGGGTTGATTACTTTTTTAGGGGATAAGTCACTTGAGTTCCCTGTGTAGTCTGGTTATCAGACCCTTATCTGAGGCATAGTTTACAAAAATATTCTCCTGTTTTGAGGGTTGGCACACTAATTACTGTTCTTTTGCTGTGCAGAAATTTCTTAATCTGATGTAATCCCATTTTTCTATTTTTGAGATTACTGCCTGTGCTTTGGAGGTATTAAAGAAGTCTTTGCCTACTCCAGTGTCTCACAGAGTTTCCACAGTGTTTTCCACCAGTAATTTTATAGTTTGAGGCCTTAGGATTAGATCTTTGATCCACTTTAAGTTGATTTTGTTAATGGTGAGAGATAGGGGCCCAGGTTCATCTTTCTTCAGGTAGATACCCAGTTTTTCTAGCACCATTTGTTAAGAGGTTTTCTTTTTCACACTGGATTAACTGGTACCCTTTCTCAAAAATCAGTTGGCTGTATGTTTTGGCATTTATTTCTGAGGTCTCTATTCTGAGGAACCCCATTTTTATCCTTATAACTATTCTTCCCTTTCTCTGAGTGATCAGAAATTTCAAGGTAAAAATCAAATTTTGAGGGTTTTTTTCCTTTCTTATTTCATTTGTTAAAGGGGATGTGCCCCGGTTGTTGAGAGGCAAAGAGAGAGGGAAGGAGAGAAAGTATCCCCATAGGGGTTGGCCATACTGCAATCTCTCCTATATTTCTCCTTTAAGGATTTTGGGCACACACAAACACATGTGCCTGCATTTCTCAGGCTATGGGGTCTAGGGCTGAACCACATAGTTGGCCATATGAGATCCAGACACCTTAACCACCACGCCACTGGCTGGTCCTCTAATTTTTATTGAGAGTTAGGCATGTTATTAGCCACCTCATAGTATCTCAAGGCCATACATATTTCTCTGTAATTTCTGAGAACATATATGTACATCTTCTCAGATCTTAGTTTCTCATAATGATCTACATGTTCTTCAGAAATAAAACTGGTCTGTTATGTTAATAGATCTTGCTGTGTTAGCCTTAAGTGAAAAGCAAAAGGATTTAGGGGTTATATAAGAACAAAAGTATTGGGGTCAGCAGATGGCATAGTGGTTACATCGTTGCGCTCCCACATGACTGACTGCGGTTCAAGTTCTGGACCCAGTAGCTTGAAAATCAGGCTGTGTGCATGTGTGCCCAAGATCTGAGAGGTGAATGGAGAAGGGATTATGGTATGGCCATCTCCCTGGGGGGGGGTCTCACTTTCCCTCTCACTCTCACTGTCTCTCTCCCTAGCAATTGCACATGCCCTAAGGCAAAAAACGTCTAAACACACACAAAAAAAGAAAAACAGTATCCCTCTTTAAACACATGCACTATAGATAATCCTTTTAGCTGTGTTCTTGAGGAAGACAGTAAAACAATCAGTTGGCAGTGTAAAGGTACATAATATTAATTAGCAACATTAAAGTCTTATGAAAGACAATTAAAATAATATTATTTGACTTCTCTCTATTTTCCCACCTCTAAGGATTTTGTCCTTAATCACCTTCTC